TAAAGTTCTCTTTCTTTTTGTTCTCAACTTCTAATTTTTAGCCTATCTATCGGATCTTCAAAATACTTTTGTTTCTTATAGTTTAAACCTTGTTTGAACTTTACGACTCAATGGAAGGGACAACAAAGTGGGATCTTCTTGGTTGCAAAACATTAGATACATTAATGCAAGTAAACCCATACTCAACCAACCAACAAATGCTACTCCAAAGATATCTATATTTGAAATAAAACTTCAACAGGCTCGATCAAGAAACTTCGGCGACAAGAGTTGGTGCTTCAACTTCTGAAGCGAGGGGGAATGCTACTAGCGTGAGGACAATAGTCATGAGGGATGCAAAGATGGGGGAATCGAGCTACATAGTTATGGTTGCAGTGGAGGATTGTCCAACTATTGTTCCTCTGATGGTCTACAAGGCTACCGGAAGACATCTAACCAAATCGCATCCCCAGTCACCATTATTGATAATTCTTCCAGGTCCTCAAATTTTTAATAGATTTCTTTATGCTTCTAATTTCAATTACACATCACTTGTATTTCTATAGCTTTACACAACACATAGTGAATGTACTTGGGCAACTAAGTGAATTTGAGCTTTTATTCTTCTTACTATTTTGTTGCTATCTTCTACTTTACTTTATGTACTCTAACATATACATCTACCCATAAGTGGTCATTCAATTAGCACACATATCTCTCATGTATCCTTAACATTGAAGACCTTAGCATTATTTTCGAAGTAACACAATGTTCGTTGCATGAGTAAAAAACTAGTTTCTTCAAAAGAAACTGAAAATTGAAGTTTAAATCCAGGACTTCCATTGCTATTTTATATGACTTTTAGTTACTTTACGAAAAATATTAAACTCGACATTCGGTTGAATAAATAATGCTATAAATAAAAGATTTAAAGTGATATAGTAGTAGTAGTAGTAGTAGTAGTAGTAGTAGTAGTAGTAGTAGTAATAATAATAATAATAATAATAATAATAATAGAAGATTAAAAGTCGGTTGATTAAATAATGCTATAAATAAAAGATTTAAAGTGGTATTAATAATTATTAACAATCAAAAGTCGCATTTGAAAGTGATGCGATTTAGATTCTTACCAGTTACCATTACCAGGAGCCAACCATCACAAGATCTTTTATAAGACGCCAAAACTCTCAAGAAGCTCCTTCTCACCATTGAGGCAGGCAGGCAGGCAGCCGATCAAATTGCTCCTCATCACCATCCAGTCTGTTTCTTCTCAATTCTTTTACTGAAATAAGGTAAAAATATATATATTTTTTCTTTTGAAGAGAAACAGAAATTTCGTAGATTAATTACTAGCCTTCTGTGTTGCATATTTGAATCATAAATACAGAAACCCTAAATTGACGAATTTGGTAACGGTCTTGGTGCCCTCATAACCAAACTAACATCCGTCTGAATTTTGTGTATTTTTATTACTTTTCTTTTCTGTATATTACATTAACTGGTTACCACAATAGGACAAACCTGGAACCAAACTTTTTAATTTTGACGAAACAACGATCAGTATCTGATTTTTATGATTTGTTCTATTGAGCATGTAAATTTGTTTTTTAATTGCAATGTCGTCTATAAGGAAACATATTCACGAGGATTATATCAAGCGTGCACGAGCTTATCACCCAAAGAAGCAGGCTTTACGAGTAACTTTTGAATTCGAATTCAGTCTTCAAAATCTCCTTTTAGCTTCTATTCGTTGTAAGTCACCGTTTGTCTGCGGAAACTTAAGCTAAAAGCGGCATTGAGGAACCCAGATGAATTTCAATAATGCTAGTCGAACAGGTCCCAAGGACAGAGTAAAAAACAGGGTTTCCAATTTGGGTTACGTGTCCATTGTTTTCTTGTCTTTTTGGTGGGAAACAAAGTGAAATAAAAGTTAAAACACAGCCATTTGACTTGGAGGGAAACCCACTGAGACACAATACACCCATTTCCTCCCTCTTCCAAAACAGGACTTTCCCCCAAATTATACGAATTAAACACCCATTTCCTCCCTCTTCCCAAACGACTTTCCCCCAAATAATACGAATTAAACTGCCGCAGCATGATTCCAGCTCCGGAAAAAAAGTTACAAACTCCAGCAACGACATTCCTGACCATTTTGGTGAATTCCGGCGACCGTACGAGACCCTGCCTTCTCCAATAATAGTGAAGAGCTCAGATTTTGGCCCATTGCAGAAGCTCACGGAAACTAGAATTTTTTTGGTTGAGGTTCAGAATCCCAGTACATATAAAAGGTATGATAACTAGAATTAGATTTTTGAGGGTTCAATGTCTAATTTTTGTGTGCGTTAGTGCAACTGGAAGACGACATTTCTCCTGCAACTTAGGCTTTAGTGTATGTAGAAGACGCCAATGATTATTATACTAGTTCCCGTTTCTTTTTGAATATGTAGTAGGAATTCCTTTCTTTTTCCCCAATATTCCTTTTGAATATGGAGTAGTAATTCCTCTCCTTTTCCCCAATGTAGGCATGTGTTTTGATGGCAGCAAGAAGACACCAGTGATTATTATTTCCCGTTTCCTTTTGGATATGTAGCAGTAATTCCTCTCTTTTTCCCCAATATTCCTTTTCAATATGTAGTAGTAATTCCTCTCTTTCTCCCTAACGCCCCCTCCCCTCCCCCCCCAAATTTTTTTCCCGTGAATGCATGCGTCACTAACTATTTCACACGGTATTCGATTGCAGGTCAAGCGTTGCCATTGTTCTATCCAAACTCATTTAATGAAAGTGGCAGAGGCCTGTGATGAGGAATGATCGTAGGAGTGTGGTTCTTGTTTTGCCAGCTTGTTAAATTTTTCGTCGACTACTTCATTGTTTTATGAAGCAATTTCTGCTAAACACTTTAAACTTCTTATCTTGATGCTTTCAATACTTTGTTGTTCCATGTAATCTATTATTTGCTATATGATATTACGTAAATTTAGTGGTGTTCATAGGAAAAATTCCAGCTGGGTTTTCATCCAAAAAAAATCATTACAAGGCATGTTTGTTATCTATTAGTTGCTATTTGGTATTATGTAAATATAGTGGAATAATTAACTTGTTCGGATAAAGCGAATTATTCTTGTGGCAAGTGATAAGTGTATTTTTTACACTTATTCGGGGCTCTAAACTATATAATTTTATTGTTCTTTTGGCAAAATATGATCTAAATTTTATTGTATTAATTTTCTTAGGTAAAACTCGTGCTTGGACGAAGAAGGAAAGGAAAGAAGCAAAAATTGGCGAAAAGTGACAAAATCCAAAACACGGGGATTAAATTGGCCATTGATGAAAGTTGGAGGCCAAGGCATACAAGTCAAAAAGTGGAGGATTTGAGATGCAATTATTGAGGGACTTGGCTGCAAATGACACAAAATCCATTTATTTGGCGGCCAATTACAGTGAAGTGGGCGCTTGTGGGCCATTTTAATTATTGGGGGTCATTTTAAATGCTTCTCCAAACTTCAGGGACCAAAGCTGAAAATTTTCCTAGGTTTTACTATTAAAAACCATGCAGATCCTGGGGAGCAAAGGGAGAACCAAAAAAAAAACCTAGAGCCGTGAACTGAATTGAGAGACATATAGATATATATATATAACCGGCAGAAGAAACTTGGAGAAAAAAAACGGCTGCTGCTGACTAATATACATACAAACCTACAGCAAGAAGAGAAATTGGCTGCTGGGATATATACATAAACTTGGGCAGCGGCTGATACACATCACACGGCTGAGGGAGGAGAGTTTACCTAGAGAAACTACTACAGCCGGAGGAAGAAGCAGGGACTGCCGCTGGTGGACGGAACCTACACAAGAAACTGCTGGCCGGCTGGACAGAGATATAAAACACCTACAGCCGCTGCTGGAGGGAGACATAGCCTACAGGAAGTGGTGCTGCGCTGGTGTTGAAATACAGAAACTGCAAGCCTTGGAGAACTTAACATACACGCGCAAGAGTCGAGCAAATTCGTGGAATTAATCACGTTTCTTCAACTCCTCGGTGATTTCTCTCCAATCTCTTATATGTTTAATCCCACAATTATGCTAGGCTAATTTCCCCCGTGTATTGGATGACGACAAAATTGTTTAATTCTTAGATTTAATTCGAAACTTGTGTTTTTATCGTAATTCATGCGTTGTGATTCCATTAATATGTCTAATTAGATTGTTCTAATGTTTGCACACCATTAGGATAATAAGTTGCTTTTTCGTAATGTTGGAAAACTCACGATAGGTAGAACACTATTACTGGGACACATGGGCAATAAATATTAGAAATAATATTTGTGGCATGTGCGATCATAAGTGATAATCCTAATTGTCAATGCATGTTCGCCATATGAATTCGAACTAGGAATAGGATCGTCTCATGGTAAACATAGGTTTTTATATCTTGGAAAAGAATAATAAATAATTGTGGAATTATCGATCGTCGCAATTGCATAAATTGAGATAATTAACACTAGTTGAGAATTAGAACTAAGCGTTACTCAATGGCGTCTGAAATCCAGTACATTCACATATTCGAGTTTTAAATCAACCTCCATTACTTTTATAAATTTTAGTTTTAGAAATCCGTTAACTATTCACTCGATAGTTTTAGTCACAAACACGAATTCAATTTTATCAAATATCCTAGAATTAATCCTTATTCCCTGTGGGACGATACTTTACTTATCACAATTATTACTTGTCAACAAACCCGTACGCTTGCGAGAATTTACTCGAACAAGTTTTTGGCGCCGTTGCCGGGGAATAACGGTGTTAATTTTAGTTATTAGATATTTTAGATTTGTTTTTATTTTTACTTTTATTGTTTTTATTTTCATTTAATTTTTTTAGTTGTTTTTAGGCTACCATTACACTTTTCAGGCAACTCTAGTTTATGCAAAATCCTGACGAGCCAGATCTCTTTCCAATAGACCACGAAATTGAAAGAACATTTAGAAATCGCAGAAGAGTTCAACGTCAAGCAAGGAGAATGGCTGACAACCAAAATCAACCGCAAAATCAGGTTCAACTTCAAGAGCAAATACCACAGCCAAATCAACAGAGAGCCATCCAGAACGGAGCTTCTATTTTAGTTGGAGATTATGTTAATCCAATTCCCGCACCAGTGCAACCTGTTGTGGTGTACCCTCCCTTTGGACAACCTAATTTCCACCTTCGACCAGATGTCATCAATTTGTTTCAAAATCACCAAGACATCAGGTTCTTTGGAAAAGCCACTGAAAATCCTCATGAGCACATTTCTGCTTTTCTCATGTTGTGTGAAATGATCAGTCACGAAGGGATATCAGCAGATGCATTTCGAATGCGATTATTCCCTCACACCTTGAAGGACTCTGCGAGAGAATGGTTTCTCTGTTTACCACCAGGGAGCATTCAATCATGGAACGATATGGTTCAAAAATTCACGATGAAATTCTTTCCACCTTCTCGAGTTCACCAAATTAGGAATGACGTTCACACTTTTAAGCAGAAAGATTTAGAGAGCTATCCTGAGGCATGGGAGAGGTTCAAGAATTTTTTCAGAAAATGCCCCAGCCTTGACATTCCCAAACAGGCTCAGCAATATCTTTTCTACTACGGTCTAAAACAAGAATTCAGAAATATGATAGATGTTTTAGCGGGAGGATCGGTTATGAAATTGGATGTTGATGAGGCATATGACCTGTATGAAAAAATAGCTGAGAACCAATCAATGTGGCCAACTGATAGGAAAGCTCCAAGGAAAACATCGGGGTTACACAACGTGGATGCAGTAACAGCACTGGCCGCACAAATGGAAGTTCTTACCATGAAAATGGACAATCTATCTAAGTCAGTCAACATGGTACACCAATCGCCACCTGTTTGCGAAGGCTATGGAGCGGATCATGCTAGTACACGCTACCCTTTGGCGTCTACACATGTTAATCAATCCAAAGAAGTAAGCTACGCACAGAACTTTCAAAGACAGCAAAATAATCCTTTCTCCAACACATTTAATCCAGGTTGGAAGAACCATCCAAATTTTTTATGGTCTAATAATCAAGGACAAGAATAGGGAGGAAGCAATTAGAATAAACCACCAGGGTTCCAACAGCAACAACAGCAAGGGCGAAGGCTTTTGTTGGAAGATTTGCTAGCTCAATACATTACTAAAACTGAGACCAACTTTCAAAACCAACAAGCCTCGATCAAGAATTTGGAACAACAGGTTGGACAAATTGCAGCCGCACTATCAGGTAGAGCTCAAGGGACATTGCCTAGTAATACTGAAACAAACCCTAAGGAGCAAGTCAAAGCAATCACTACACGTAGTGGCGTCCAGTTACCAGAAATACATGTAAAGCGACCAGCAACTGTCATAGAAAAGGCACCTACCATGGACGAGGAGCAAGTGGATGAATTAGACAAGGCCGCTGAGGAAAATCAAGTTGAGTCATCAGATAGTCCACAGGTGAAAGCAACTGTTCCTGTCAAAGCATATGTTCCTCCAATCCCATTTCCACAGAGATTGCAAAAACATAAGCTCGACAAACAATTCCAAAAATTTTTGGATGTGTTCAAGAAGCTGCATATTAACATACCATTTGCTGAAGCTTTAGCTCAAATGCCCAGCTACGCCAAATTCATGAAAGATATTCTATCAAATAAGAGGAAGCTGGAGGACAATGAAACGATCAAGCTTACTGAGGAGTGTAGCGCAATTCTCCAACATAAGTTACCGCCGAAGTTAAAAGATCCTGGGAGTTTTACTATTCCTTGTAACATCGGTAACTTATATATAGATAAGGCATTGTGTGATCTAGGAGCTAGCATTAATTTAATGCCTCTATCTCTTTTCTGAAAACTAGGTTTGGGGGAAGCAAAACCGACAACAGTTTCACTACAATTGGCTGACAGGTCGATCAAGCACCCTCGTGGTATTTGTGAAGATATTTTGGTGAAAGTTGACAAGTTTATCTTCCCAGTGGACTTCATCATTCTAGATATGGAAGAAGATAGAGACGTCCCCCTCATATTAGGTCGTCCATTTTTGGCTACGGGAAGGGCTTTGATAGATGTGCAAAAAGGCCAATTGATATTAAGGTTAAACAAAGAAGAACTGACAATCAACGTGTTTAAAGCTTTCAAATTTCAGAGCGAACCAGATTCTTGCATGCAGATTGATGTAATAAAAGAAGCGGTATCAGAGACATTCAAACTAGATCACCCCAAAAACTTGTTCGAGTAAATTCCCGCAAGCGTACGGGTTCGTTGACAAGTAATAATTGTGATGAGTAAAGTATCGTCCCACAGGGAATAAGGATTAATTCTAGGATATTTGATAAAATTGAATTCGTGTTTGTGACTAAAACTATCGAGTGAATAGTTAACGGATTTCTAAAACTAAAATTTATAAAAGTAATAGAGGTTGATTTAAAACTCGAATATGTGAATGTACTGGATTTCAGACGCCATTGAGTACCGCTTAGTTCTAATTCTCAACTAGTGTTAATTATCTCAATTTATGCAATTGCGACGATCGATAATTCCACAATTATTTATTATTATTTTCCAAGATATAATAAACCTATGTTTACCACGAGACGATCCTATTCCTAGTTCGAATTCATATGGCGAACATGCATTGACAATTAGGATTATCACTTATGATCGCACACGCCACAAATATTATTTCTAATATTTATTGTCCATGTGTCCCAGTAATAGTGTTCTACCTATCGTGAGTTTTCCAACATTATGAAAAAGCAACTTATTATCCTAATGGTGTGCAAACATTAGAACAATCTAATTAGACATATTAATGAAATCACAACGCATGAATTACGATAAAAACACAAGTTTCGAATTAAATCTAAGAATTAAACAATTTTTTCGTCATCCAATACACGGGGGAAATTAGCCTAGCATAATTGTGGGATTAAACATATAAGAGATTGGAGAGAAATCACCGAGGAGTTGAAGAAACGTGATTAATTCCACGAATTTGCTCGACTCTTGCGCGTGTATGTTAAGTTCTCCAAGGCTTGCAGTTTCTGTATTTCAACACCAGCGCAGCACCACTTCCTGTAGGCTATGTCTCCCTCCAGCAGCGGCTGTAGGTGTTTTATATCTCTGTCCAGCCGGCCAGCAGTTTCTTGTGTAGGTTCCGTCCACCAGCGGCAGTCCCTGCTTCTTCCTCCGGCTGTAGTAGTTTCTCTAGGTAAACTCTCCTCCCTCAGCCGTGTGATGTGTATCAGCCGCTGCCCAAGTTTATGTATATATCCCAGCAACCAATTTCTCTTCTTGCTGTAGGTTTGTATGTATATTAGTCAGCAGAAGCCGTTTTTTTTCTCCAAGTTTCTTCTGCCGGTTATATATATATATCTATATGTCTCTCAATTCAGTTCACGGCTCTAGGTTTTTTTTTTGTTCTCCCTTCGCTCCCCAGGATCTGCATGGTTTTTAATAGTAAAACCTAGGAAAATTTTCAGCTTTGGTCCTTGAAGTTTGGAAAAGCATTTAAAATGACCCCCAATAATTAAAATGGCCCACAAGCGCCCACTTCACTATAATTGGCCGCCAAATAAATGGATTTTGTGTCATTTGCAGCCAAGTCCCTCAATAATTGCATCTCAAATCCTCCACTTTTTGACTTGTATGCCTTGGCCTCCAACTTTCATCAATGGCCAATTTAATCCCCGTGTTTTGGATTTTGTCACTTTTCGCCAATTTTTGCTTCTTTCCTTTCCTTCTTCGTCCAAGCACGAGTTTTACCTAAGAAAATTAATACAATAAAATTTAGATCATATTTTGCCAAAAGAACAATAAAATTATATAGTTTAGAGCCCCGAATAAGTGTAGAAAATACACTTATCAAACCCCCGAACTTGAATCTTTGTTTGTCCTCAAACAAAACTGAAATCTAAGTAACAACAAACATACAAGCATGCAAAAATTATTTGGTTGGACAGTTTAACTTTTTACCACAGCATTTGAGATCACCGAATTAAATCTATAAACTGCTTCAAAGTTGCAATACCAAACCAATTTTCACTCTTCCAATGCAAAATCGACGTGTGTGTGTGAAAAATTAAGTAGACACTAATGACTTCACAAGTTGTTTTAATTCCCGACCCTCTATGGTCAAATATATTCTCTCATTTCTCGTAAGATTCACACAGCCCCAACTTTATTATTTTCACTCAATTCCCAGCAGGTGATCTAAGGTTGAATTTCTCATTACTATCATTACCCTCTCTAGTTCAGGTGGACGTCGCTAGTTGCAAGTTAATACATCAATGAACAAAGATTCTCAATTAATTGATTGCTTCAACCGCTAGGACTCAACTAGGCTAATTATCCTTCATTGAAAGGTCAAATTTTCTCGAATAAGTGCTCGGACTTAACAAGGCAATTAGTGCTTTTGCATTTTTCATGCACTTGCTTTTTCTGATTTTTAAGATTTTTTTTCTCTCCATTAAGCTTTCTAGATGACCCATGTAGCAGGTTTTAGGCCGATGACTTCCAAGTCAGATGACTTTAGAGCATCAGGTTTTAAGACACCCTTACAGGCTTAATAACCCGAGTCAAAAAGGCTTCAAAGAGAACAAATTTTATTTTTTCCAAGTGCAACTTCATCCCTGATTGCTTTCTAAATAACCCCTGTAACGAGCTTTAGGCCGATGACTCTCAAGTCAGATGACTTTAGGGCATCAGGTTTTAAGATACCCTTGCAGGCTTAATTACTCGAGTCATAAAGCTTTAGAGAGAAGTTTTTAATTTCAAAATATATGCCTTGATTAGTGCAATGCCCTTTATCATACATTTATTCAATCAAATCGACCTCCAACTCAAGACTTTTACCCAATACATTTATTCAATCAAATCATCCACACATGAGTTTTCACACATGGAATCCTTGCCCATATCCGTATCTTCCTACAATAGCAAAATCACCCCCAAACTGTTCTAAATTTGGTCTAAGGATAAATAATTTGTATGGTATGGATAAAGCGTCTATGTTCAACTAAATCAACCTATAAAGCATATGAATCAACTTATTTCATCACAATGTCAACTCAATTTCAGTGCATATATAATATCAAATTTTGCAAGTTCAAGCTTCAATCAGTCTAGCATGCTCCCTATCCACAGTTCATAAATTAACACCAAATCTCAAATTTAATCATCATTATCAGTCAAATTGTCCAACCCACACAAGCACACAAACAAACAAAAATAAAAAGTTAACTAATTTCTTTTTTTTTTTTTTTTAAATATGAAAAACAACACACGAAAACATATGAAAACCAAAAACACAAAGTGTTTCCCACCCCCAAACGTAAACCAGACATTGTCCTCAATGTCTTAAAACATAAGTAAAAAATGTAAGGGGATGGGGAGGAAAAGGACGAAGGTACTCCCCGAATTTTTCTGTGGAAGGTACTATAGGTGACGGCTAGACAATCTTTTTCATCATGCTTTCCCTTTGGTCGATGTTGGTCTGAGTGTTCCACGACGTCATGTTCCTGCATATGGCAATCATCAAATAGTAGAGATCAAATAATCCAAAACCTATGTTACTTAGCCCAAACACTTGAAATAACCAACATTATATTTAAGGGTTTCAATGAAAACATGACCAGATGATGATAATGTATAAATGTAAACGTGCCTAAATCTAATGCAACTAACAATTAAAATAAATCTATATGCAATGCAATGCAGAAAACAAAATAACTAAAAGGTTCAGAAATTGGGTTGCCTCCCAATAAGCGCTTTATTTATAGTCTTTAGCTAGACTTTGTTGTCCTGGCTACTCTACATTGTCAAGTGGCACGGTTGTTTTCTCATTGGAGTAGTCACCTCCCCAATACGCTTTCAACCATTGTCCATTTACGTTGAATCTCCTTTGTTGATCTTGAGACATCACTTCCACAGCGCCATGTGGAAACACAGCTACCACTGTGAATGGACCCGACCACCTAGACTTTAGCTTTCGTGGAAAAAGCTTGAGGCATGAATTGAACATCAACACTTGCTGACCAACCTCAAACTCTTTCTCCCTTATATGCCTGTCGTGCCATCTCTTGGTCTTTTCCTTGTAAATATTTGCATTCTCATACGAATCCAAACGAAACTCATCTAGCTCATGAAGTTGTAGAACTCTCTTTTCTCCTGCTACCCTCATATTGAAATTGAGTAAGTGCGTCGCCCAGTATGCTTTATGTTCTAACTCAACGGGTAGGTGACACGCCTTTCCAAATATTAGTCGATATGGAGACATGCCAATTGGAGTCTTAAATGCTGTTCTATATGCCCAAAGTGCATCGTCCAATTTCTTAGCCCAATCTTTACGTGATGCATTGACCGTAGCTTTAAGAATCTTCTTTAATTCCCTATTGGAGATTTCCACTTGCCCACTAGTCTGAGGATGATATGGAGTCGAGACACGATGTTTCACTCCATATTTGGCCAACAACGACGCAAAGAGGCGGTTACAAAAGTGCTTTCCACCATCACTAATAATCGCCCTCGGGGTGCCATACCTTGTGAAAATATTTTTCTTCAGAAATTGAGTCACTACCCGGCCGTCATTAGTTCGTAAAGCCACAGCTTCGACCCACTTAGACACGTAGTCCACTGCCACCAGTATGTATTGTTGACCATAGGATGGAGGGAATGGTCCCATGAAGTCAATACCCCAAACGTCGAATATTTCAACCTCCAAGATACCGTTCAAGGGCATCTCGTTCCTCCTTGAGATGTTTCTAGTTCTCTGGCACTTATCACAGTTCTTCACCATATAATGTGCGTCCTTGAATAGCGTAGGCCAATAAAAACCCGATTGCAGTACCTTTGCTGCTGTCTTGGTTGCTGCAAAGTGGCCCCCATACGGTGCAGAGTGACATGATTCTAATACTTGATGTTGTTCTACTTCTGGCACACAACGGCGTATGATCTGATCTGGACCCCTTCTGTAAAGGATTGGATCATCCCAAAAGTAGTGTTTTAGGTCACTGAAGAATTTCTTCTTTTGGTGACTTGAGTTTTCTGGTGGGATGATGGAGCGAGCCAAATAATTCACATAATCGGCATACCATGGCGTAGTGATAATCTGAAAGAGCATTTCATCTAGGAAAAATTCATTGATCTTTTCCGTAGGGTATGACTCATGTGATTCAAGGCGAGATAAATGATCTGCAACAACATTCTCGCTCCCCTTTTTGTCTCTGATCTCCAAATCAA